AGTATGCCTGCCAGTGATTTCTGCATGCTCGACGGTGGTCCCGAATAACGTCCAAGACGGCCCCCCAAAGCCCCGCATGCCCGTCTGAGAAGGCCCCCCGAGCCCTCAAGAAGGGCCCATGAGGCTCCGAAGGTGCCCCCAAGAGGGGCCTCCGAGGGGGAACCCGAACTGTACCTTGAAACCCTCCACACCAAGATGTCCTCTGAGACGGCCAGCCGGCTCACAAGAGGCCCCCAGAGGCCCGCAAGAGACCCCGAGGAAAGCCCCACGAGACCGCCTAGAGACCCAAAACAGGTCTCCGAGATGCACCCGAGTGATCCCAAGAGGCACCCTATACGTATGTATGGGCCTCTCGTCAACGTCCAAGAGTGGCTGGATGGAACCAAGGCAACCGTCGCCGTCCCATGTTTCCTTACATATGGGGTACCCGGCGTGTCTAACGCTTCGCTGATACATTCCTGCTCAAGATTCCCCACGGATGCCTCCAGGACGGCTAAACATCTATCCGATACCTATATGACCACCCCTCGGGTGATAAGGAGGTTCGGGAGGGGCAGAAGCACCAACGTCTCACTCAACAGATCTCAATTTCGATCTTACTATCGATCTCAATATCGATCACAACTATCGATGTCACTATCGATCTCACTATCGATCTCACTATCGATCTCACTATCGATCTCACTATCGACCTCCCTATCGCTCCCCCGATCGGTGTCACTATCAATGTGGCGATCGATCTCACTACAGGACACTGACGGGACACCGACCTGACACCGGCGGGACACCCGCGGAACACCCCCGGCCACCGCCAGACAACCCGCGGGGCTGGTCTTTTGGCCCGGCGGCGCCCTAGCCGGAGGAGGTGTAATTTCTCTCGGGTGGGTGGGAAGATGCCCAAATCAGTTGTACTCCACAACGCAATACTAAATCATATTCGCGTTCTTGCTTTTTCGGGCTTCCAGCAGCCGAAGACGGCCCTCGAGATCTCTACGGTAGTCCCAAGACGGCCCAACAAGTATCCAAGATGGCCCCAAAGTGGCATCTCAGACGACCAAGGCGGCCGAAGATCCAAGAAGGCTCGAGATACCTCCATGGTGGCCAGGGTGGCCTGAAGACGGCCTGAGAAGAGCCCAAGACGCCCTCAAGAGGCCTCCAAAGATGCACTCCAGGAGGGCCCGAAGAGGCCCGAATCCTAGATGTTCCTTAGTTGTTTTGTTTGTAATGTTGTTAGTGCTGTTGTTTTGTTATGTGTTGTGATGGCCACGGTCTCGTCCTTCTGGCTTCCGACAGCCGAAGACGGCCGCAAGATAGACCCAAGACGGCCCCAGAACTCTCCAGGAAAGAGGTCCAAGACGAGCCAAGAAGCCATCCAAGCCCTGCCCACCCGTGTGTTGCATCCTCGAAGAACCTTGTCTGTCCCGTGGCGGACCAATCCGCGCCGAATCCGTATCGAATCCTTGCAGGACGCGTCGGATCCGTGTCGAATCCGTGTCGAATCCGCGTCGATTCCACGCCAGATGCTCGTCGAGTCCGCATCGGGCACCAGGAACAGACACCAATGTTGGGGACAGGCGAGGTCCCCCGAAGATGCAACCTTGGCACGGGTACTTTTTGCCCGTGGCTTTGGACGCCCGAAATGGGAACGGAAAGAATGGGTACAATGCCCAACAACAAATGTTGCCCCAAACCAGCAGCGGCCGCTGTTGGGCGGGCGGCCTTCTGTCTCGAGTGGACACAGGCCGCGGCGGCGTGGACAGCGAGCCCTGTTCAAAAGGAACAGGAACTACTGTTCGGGCCTTGTGCCCATCCTTTCCGTGCCCATGTCGTTCGTGCAGAGCGGCATCCGCGAAGGAGCGCCCCCGCACCCGCGGGGCCGCGGCCCGGGGGCCCTGCCCGCGACCCCGCGGGCGCGGAGCGCTTCTTCGCCCCCGCGGTGCACCGGGGGAGGCTGCGCGCGGGGCCGCGGCCCGGGGGCCCTGCCCGCGACCCCCGCGGACACGGAGCGCTTCCTCGCCCCCGCTTCGTTCGTCCAGAGCTCCCGCCGTGGCTCCGGCGCACGCCCCTCGGGGAGGCCCCGCGGGGCGGGGCCTCAGGACGCCCGCGAGAGGCCCCCGCCGGCCGCGAGGCCCGCCAGCCTCGCGCGCGGCGGAGCGCGCACGCGGGGGGGCGCCGTGGCCGGGCGCCGGAGGGCGCCGAGCCCGCGGGCCCGAGCGGGGCGCTTGTCGGCGGACTCGCAGATGTCGACGATCTCGTCGCCGTAGTCGTTGAGCTGCGCGGCGATGAGGGACCTCGGGCAGGAGAGGTCGGCGCGGGGGCGGCAGGGCTCCCCCGTCCTCCTCCGGCCTCTCGGCTCGTGCTCCTGGTCCTGCTCCTGCGCCTCCGCCCCGTGCCGTGCCTGGCGGGGGTCCTGGTGGTCTCTCGGCAAGTCCGAGGGGGAGGCGGGGGAGAGGAGGAGACATGAAGGCACGAAGGAGGGGGAGGAGTGGTCCACGGTGCCCCCAGGGGCATCTGGAGGCCCATGCAGAAAGGCTCCCAACCGCACACGAATACGACATCCTCAGCCGCGATCCGCCCTCCCTGCCCCGACAGAGCGCAGGGGGAAGAGTGGAGGGTGGGGCGGCCAGCGCACGCTGGAGCCAGCGCAGGTGCCCGCATGTCCGCCCCCCCCCCCCCCCAGGGCTGCGATCCGAGCCTGTTCCTGGGGTGCCGGGCACCCGCTGGGGCGGTGCAGTCTCTGTCGCACTCTCGGGAGAGGATGAGGGGGTCGAGGAAATGAGGGAGGAGGAGGCAGCTCCTCCTCCTCCTCCTCCTCCTCCTCCTCCTCCTCCTCCTCCTCCTCCTCCTCCTCCTCATGATCCTCATGATCCTCATCCTTCCTCACTCCTCCCTCCTCATCCTCGTCCTCCCAAGGAGGAAGGTGGAGCAAGGAGGATGAGGAAGAAGAAGAGCGAGTGGGAGGGGCATGGGGCGATTGGGGAGGGGGGGGCAGGATGATAACAAGGAGGATCAATAGTCTACAGCAGTGGCCAGGGATGAGGAATCGCAAGAAGAAGAAGAAGAAGAGGAGTATGGATATAGAAACAATAACAATGAGGATGAGGAGGAGGGCGAGGATAACACTAATAAGGAATCTGCTTGTTGCAGCAATGACAAGGGATGATGAAGTTAGGAATGAGGAAGGAAGTCGGATATCAAGAATGATGATGAGAAGGAAGAGGGGAACGTGCAGCAAGCCCCCGGAAGAGGAAGGAAGGACAGAGGAGGAGGAGGAAACAACACAAAAGGATACATAACAGAGGGCGAGACAGAAAACACGGAAGGGGACGAGGGATGATGAAGAGGAAAAGGTACAACTACATCAGGGAAGATAAGCCAAACACAGACGTTCCGTCGACATGTGAAACTGTTGGTTCATGGGCTGTGCGCCTTTCCCAGTCCAGGCTCTAAAGGCGGCGGCTTCAGCTGGAATGTCTCCGACTCGATAGGAAGTTCCTTTCCGGTGATGTCCATCACCTGGGATGCGGCCAGGGGACGCAGCGCACAGATGTGGAACGGCGGGCGAGGAAGAGGGGAGGGGGGGCGAGGGGAATGCGGGCGAGAAGGACATGTCCGCTCCGAACCTTGAATGAGACGTGACTGGCCGGGCGAAGGAGGTGGCGAATGGGATGAAGAGGCCGCAGAGGAGGGGAAAGAGCATCCTGGAGTGCCCTGGAAGCCACAGCCCACGTGGCCGAAGAACCTGCAGGGCACCCGGCACCACCCGACGCGCTTGATCGCGCTGAGTGCGTCGGGCGGCAGCCTCCAAAACGGGGGCCGCTGGACAAGTGTGGCCCGGGAACGAGCCCCGCCGAATTCTCTGGAGATGTCCCAGCCCCTTCTGGGAGCGCTCGGTGCCCTCCTGAATGACGCCTGGGGGGCCACGGTGGCCGCTCGGCCACGTAGAGTTAGGAGGCCACATGCGAACCCTACCCCACCACGGATTCAAGGGGGGGTGGGGGTGGAGTTCACTTCGCTCGGGACCTCCCGAGCCAAGCGAACCCCACCTCTCCCTTTAGGAAACATGTGGGGCGGTGGGGTAACTAGGGCTCGCACGTGGCCTCCGAGAGAACGCGCAGGCCGAACAATGTATGTACGGCAGTGACCCAGGTGAAGCTCAACACCCCCAGCCGTCACCACCCCGCCCGCCCGCGCGATCCCATGTCCGAGCGCATCCTGCGCCGAGCTGGCATCAACGGGGGCAGGGCCGGCCACGCGCCTCCGGAACGTGAAAAACCGAGGGACGAATGCCCAAACAAAGCGAACACGTCCACGTGCGGCAAGTTTTCGGTCGGGCATGTCCCCTTGCAAACGGCTTTTGGGCGAAACGTAAACAACAGCCCAACAACAACTCAACACTAATCGAACCATACTAGACAAATCGTCCCCATTTTGAACATTCCTCCTGTATGGGGGGCATGCCCGACATAAGGCACGTTCTAATCAAGCAATGCGAGCTGCGAGAAAGAGAGAGAGAGAGAGAGAGCAGCCTGAAGTTATGTGGTTTTCGCGCGGCCCGATTTGGGTCTCTCCGCGGTCCAGGGAGCCGCACGGACGGATTCCGCCAACGCCTGGGCGGCCCGCTGGCGGATCAAAAAACAGAGGGCATCCCAACGGTTGGTGTCTGGCACTCGCTGACCGCTGGTGGCGATGTCCAAGGACTCCTAAGGAGGAGGGGAAAGATGGCGAGGAAGAGGTGGAGGGGGGCGACGAGTGACAGGGGCGTAATGATGAGGGGGAGAAGGAGGGAGGAGATGAGAGAGGATGGAGGAGTGAATGGGGGAGGGAGGAGGCGGAGAGAGAGGGGGGGAATGGCGAGGGGGGGAATGGCGAGGGAATAGGAGGCAGGAGGGGGAAGACGGTGGTCGGGATGTGGACCTTTACGGGGTTGGGCCGCTGCACGGGTGCCCGGAGCACTGCAGCATCGCCCTCGACGCTTGCGCTCCCCCGACCCCTCCGCTCCCCCCACCCCGCGTCATTCGGGTCGGGCGAAAGGGGGGGATAGCAAAGGGGGGGGTTGAGAATCAGCTCACGTAGCTGATTTTCCCGGCGCCGGAGGCGGCTATGTATCGAGGAATGGGCCCCTCGGTGGGGCCGAAACCAGCTGCATGCAGCAAATTTCGTAACCCCCCCTTTCCCAATCCCCCCTTTCGCCCGACCCGAGTCATCTGCCTCCGCCTCCTCTGGGAGGACAGCTGGGAGAAACACAAGCTTTTGGCACTCCGCGCGGATTTCTTGGATCTGCGCTGGAGCCCCCTCCCCTCCCTGGCGCGCGGAGCGCGCCAGGGGCGGCGCCCGAGGCGCCGCCGGGGGGGGCCCGGGCGCCGATCCAAGAAGTCCGCGCGGAGCGCCAACAGTTTGTGTGCTCCGTCTTCGATCCTCCTCCACATCGCATACCCGGAGCCAGCGGATGTGCACCTTCGCCTCTCTGCCACCTCTCCGGGTCGCATCTCCTCCTTCCGCCTGCCTCCGCCGGCGGATGCGCTCGGGCCGGGCGAAAGGGGGGGGATAGCAGAATCAGCTCACTTCGCTGGTTTTCCCGGCGCCTCCCAGCGCCGGGAGGCGCCCATGCATCGAGGAGTAGGCCCGGCGACGGGGCCGAAAGCAGCATGCATACAGCAGATTTCGTACCCTCCCCGTTCGCTCGGCCCGAGACAAGGGCCCTTCCTCCTCCTCCTCCTCCTCCTCCTCCCTCCTCAGCCCACCTCATACGCATCCCCTCCTCCTCCTCCATCCTCATAAGCACTATCCTCCTCCTCCTCCTCCCCCTCCTCCCCCTCCTCCTCCTCCTCCTCCTCCCCCTCCTCCTCCTCCTCCTCCTCCTGTGTTCTGCTTCCGCCGCCCTCCGCCGGCCTCCCGCCGAGGAGAAGAGATGCCAGCTCCCCTCTCGCGGGCGCGCCGCGAAGTATGCGGCCACCTCGGGGGCCGCGAGCGGCTCAGCCAAACCCGGCTCAGCCAAGCTCCATCTTCGAAGGATCCTGCAGGAATATATATATATATATATATATATATATATATGTATACACACATACACATACACATAAATACGCGCCGAACCCAGCTAAATAACACATATACAGACACATACACACATGAAAACATAAGACCGCGGGGGTCGAGAGTTCCGGGCCGTGGCGGCCCCGGGGAAAGGGTCGGGGCTCCTTCCGGGGACAGCGCAGCAACAGAAGCAGTGCATCGCGTGTCTGGGGTGACTTCCACGGCGTCTCGCCCCTTTTCCTCGCCTCGCCTCGCGCCTCGCCTCGCACTCCACGCTGGTGTGAAGCTCGTGGCGTGCTGTTGGCGCAGCCCTCTGTGGGACCTCAAGGGGCACATCGCCGCGGAGCTCTCTGCGTGTGGGCGCATCAGACGGGGGGCGGACGAGCGCCGCCGCCTCGCCTCGCCTCGCCCAGCTCCCAGCACGACCCGTGCACGGCACCACAGCACCGCCCAGGGGGGCGCAAACGGCTCTCCGGGGGCAGGCACGGCGCTGCGACCGCGCCCCCCTGGCGCGCCGCATGGAGCACGCCTGCCTCCCCTGGAGGACGACGGCATCCCGTGGTGGGTAAGGGGTGGTTCGACGACCACGGCGCAAGTGTTTGCTGTGGGGGGGGGGGGGCGGGGGGGGGCCCCCCCCCCGACCCCCGGACGTCGTGACTTTTCAGAACGCCGACCCCCCCCACAAGGGGTCTCGACCCGCTCCGTGGGACGGGCTCCTCCTCCCGAGTCGTTCCTGGACGGCCCCGAGGTCCCGCACGGGACCCCCAGAGGCTGAGCATGGCGAAAGCCCCCCCGTTGGGATTGTTTTTCCCGACCCGAGGGCGTCTGGGCCCATCCTCGGCCCCGCACCTCCTGCGCTTAGCTGCCCCGACACGCAACACGCAATACGCATCGTACGGATACGGAGCTCAGCACGTAGGCTGAAAACGTAGGTCCGACGCGATACGTTCGCCAAAACGTGGCTCCCACACGTGGAGCCAACACGCAACGTATTGACACGGACGTCTTGCACACGGGACGAGTTGCGCTTCAAAACGCGCGTCTCGAAGCAACTGAGCTCCTGCGCGCTCCCGCTGCCCGTCTCCGCTCTGGGCGGCCCGCGGGGCGGGCCAACCCGGCGCCGAGCCGGCGAGAGGGCGACGGCGCCGCGCGCGCGCGGAGAGAGAGCCGCGGGCGCGGGCGGGCTGGCGGGCAAGGCGCGGTGCTGCTGTGTCAGCGAGGCCCCCCTCGCCCTCCGGCCTGCCCTCCCTCCCTCCCTACGCAGCCGCTCGGCATGAGAATGACGCACTGCCACCCTCCTCTCCCCGGACGGTGTGCCATCGTGTTGCCGCCTCTCCCGCGCACAGTTCCCACGCGCACACGCGCAGGGTCTCGACGACAGTCATGCTGTGTGTGTGTGTGTCCGTGTTTGCCCCACCTGGCCTGTGTTGGCGTGTCGCCGTTTTGAATCCGCAGCGCCGTGCA